ACGAATAGACACGACATCTCCTCCACATCCTTTTGTATTTGATCATATACGGCGTCATTTTTGCACGACGATCGTAAAGCTTTTTCACCACGGAAACTGTTTTATTAGTTTCTGATTCTTTGCTGCTTCACGCGTTTTCACGCGAGTAAAATCTGCAGAGAACCAAGAATAAAAAATTGTAAGTTAATTTATTAGCAATGACTTTATGGTATAAGTTATTATTACGTGTTATAAGTTTTTAAGTTTTTTATTCTTACAGATTAACTCGCAGTTACAGTGGCAGCATATTGTAAGCCGTTCAGCAGCGAAATTAGAATTTAAGGATATTTGTAGGTAAGAAAAATTTACAGTACAACTCATCTGCATAGTAGTTAGTATAGTAGAACTCATCTAAAACTTATGTATGTACTGCCAACCAGTCACCTTTTAATCTAATTAATTAAACTAAAATTTTTTATTCTTACAGATCAACTCGCGTACAGTGGCAGCATATTGTAAGCCGTTCAGCAGCGAAATTAGAATTTAAGGATTTAGGTAAGCATACTAGTTAGTATAGTAGAACTCATCTGAAATTTATGTATGTACTGCCAAGCAGTCACCTTTTAATCTAATAAATTAAACTAAAATTTTTTATTCTTACAGATTAACTCGCAGTTACAGTGGCAGCATATTGTAAGCCGTTCAGCAGCGAATTTAGAATTTAAGGATATTTGAGGTAAGAAAAGTTTACAGTACAACTCATCTGCATAGTAGTTAGTATAGTAGAACTCATCTAAAACTTATGTATGTACTGCTAGCCTGTCACCTTTTAATCTAATAAATTAAACTAAATTTTTGTATTCTTAATTCCTTAATCTACAACACGTAACACCTAACGTTCAACACGAAACGAAACACGAGGTGTTTTACAAGGGTTGCCACCCGTTTTAAAATTAGATTCAATTAATTGAAATGAGTCACTCCAATATGGGTATCAAGCCAAATGTTTTTGAAAAGGGTTTTAGTTCTGAACTACATTTAGGAGGGTTGCCAACTGTTTGAAAAATCAAATGCTGCTTGAGTTAAGGGCATTCGCTAATTCTAATATGTATCAAAATATCGGTGTCAGACGAAAAGGGTTTAATGAGGTTTTAGTTGGAAAATATTTTGAATAGGTTTGTCACCTGTTTTAAAAGTCGAATTTAAATTAATTATACTTAAGCTAGAGTGTCAAGCGAAAGAGTTTTAGAAATGTTCAGCTTAAACACGTAGAATTATCTGAGGGATTTGAAGAGGGTTGCCACCTGTTTTAAAACTTAATTCGAATACAATTATATCATAAGTTAATTAAGTTAATACAATATAGGTATTAATCGAAAGAGTCGAAACGGCTTTATTTCTAAGCGACATATGTATAACAGGGCTTCCACATATTTGAAAATTCAAATTCAACTTGAATTATAGGAATTAGGTATTTTGAATACATATGTATATATTACAACTATTATATAAAAGTTAAATTCAAACTATTCAATAATTGTATCAATTATTACAATATGGATATCAATCGAAATGGTTTTGAAAGAGCGTCATTTGGTATCACAAGAAAGAAGTTTAAAAAAGTTTTAGTTTGAAAATGTTTTGAGGATGGTTAAAAGAATTTAAATTCTCCTGTTTTTGGCATAGTTTAAGTATGTTGAGTTTTATTTAAATAAATTACACCTAATGTACCACGCACAAATTTCATACACTCAGCGAAGCGGGTGAGGGTGATCTAGTTTATATATATATATATTGGACCAAAAATAAAGTAAAAAAATAAAGGAAAACTGAAAGATATTTTTCTCAGAACAAAATTTGTGTTTGAAGAGCAGATGTAAAACCTACTTGAGAAAATGGCCCTAAGTCAAGTAATTAGAAAACTTCGTTTACAATTTTTGCAACACCACTAAAACATATTTGTACATTGGCGGTATGTGTACAGTGTCCATTCGTACCGATTTTGGCGGGACAGTGCCGATTTTGAGAAAATTGTCCCGCTGAATATTTTATAAAATCAAGTTTTTTTCTCTTAGTTTTATTTTAAATTAAACTGTATTAAAAATATTATATCCTTTTTATTCTAAAATCTAAATTGTATGTTCGGATTCGATGCATTACATATGTCCCGATTTTTGTCCGTAAGTGTAGTAGAACTCAACTGAAATTTATGTATGTAACTGCCAGCTTGTAACCGTCATTGTTAATAAATTAACTTACAATTTTTTATTCTTGGTTCTCTGCAGATTTTACTCGCGTGAAAACGCGTGAAGCAGCAGAAATTGAGAAGTTGGATCATGAGTCGCAAAAGGCCGCATGGCGACAAAGAATAAGAAACTAATAAAACAGTTTCCGTGGTGAAAAAAGCTTTACGATCGTCGTGCAAAAATGACGCCGTATATGATCAAATACAAAAGGATGTGGAGGAGATGTCGTGTCTATTCGTCGAGGTATCAAGATACATTCACTTTACCTTGATGAAACATTGGGAACAACAAAACTTTGAACCCATACATTTTCTGGACTGTTATTACCATCTAATGGTAAAGAAAAAACCAAAATATACAATAGACCAGGAGTATAATATGCTACGAAAAAACCTCAAGTTATACGATAGTTCGTATCGGTCGAATTTATTTGTGGAAAACGCGAATAAATTTCTGACTATATTCCATAACAATATTTGGATGCACGGTTATACTCGGCTCAGAAAATATTTTGAAGAAGACAAAAAAAAGGTATATAATACACTGAGCTACCTATTCGACAAATATTGCAAAGATATCCCTGATGAAGCGTTACTAGATCGTATGCGTGTAGACTTACTCTGGAACGGAAATAAACTACACGAATTGGAGAATGTGAAACTATTTTGGTCTTCGATTGAATTGTTTTTCAACCTGCAACGGTATAATGAGAAAAATGAAATAAAAATTTTTTCACTAATACCACAACTAAAACACGGCTTACATCACGTGAGATACGATCGATTGGCTTTGTACCAACTATTGTGTCGATTGAAATTATTCAAAGGACCATTTTCTTCCTTCGATAAAAGTGAATTTAAAAAATATTTTAAAATTCCTTCAACGTGCACTAAAACGTTTTCTTCACTTCAAACCGATGGAGTGTCCATATCATTTTGCATGGAAAAGCAAATAAAAGTACAAAACGAAACTAAGCTAGTGAAAAAGAGAAAACTGAAACCAAATGAAACAGATTGTACAGGAGATTTAATAAAAATACGCGGAACAAAATACGACAACAAGATTGGGCTAGATCCTGGGTGTCGGCTCATTTTAGCAGGCATCCAGAACAATAATCCTGTGAAAATCAAAAATTCGTACTATCAACACCTTTCTGGTTTCTATTCGCGCAAAATAAAACTGGAGAAATATAAAAAAGATTTCACCACAAAATCAGAATTGTCTGCGAATTCATCGAACTTTCGTGAATATTGTAAATTTCAACTTGAGATACTACAACAAAAACAACAAATTTTCTCGCAAAGAAAGGTGGCTCGGCTGAAGCTGAAGAAATACATTTGCCGACAAAAAGCCTGCAACTAAATTGCGCAACAACTGGTACCAAACAAAGAAGAGAAAACGTTAATCTGCATCGGTTCAACAGAGATTGCAGCGAACTCGCCAATACGCGGATATAGGCGTACACCAAATCGGTTACTAATCGCAGCACTCAAACAACGGCATGCAGATATTCTGATGGTTAATGAATTCAGAACAACCAAACTTTGCGCAAAATGTTACAACGTAAACCTGACGGCCAAATCGCCACACAGGTGCCAGTTTTGTCAAAAATGTGGTACATGCTGGAATCGAGACGTCAATGCTGGAAAAAACATTCTCTACCTGGGAGAATGTATCATTAACCAGGAACAAAAACATCACAATTTTCACAAATAAGATGTCATTATTTCTTATATGGCGAAAAATATGTACATCTGACTACAACAGTTTAACTTAGGTCGGTGTTATACAGACAAACTTTTGTTTGCCAAATTAAATGGCGGCTGCTTAGTTTGCTCGGAGGTGGTTATGTCGAGTTTGGCACAGGGTTGCACATTCATTATGGTTTTCATGGCTATTGCCAACACGAAATGAGAATTTCAGAAGTACATAACGCGCACAATTTAAAATTTTTGTATATGACAACACCGAATTTGCTGCAGTTTGACCAAACAAAATTAGTTTGCTGTGAGAGTCGCCAAACTCGCTCTCTCCGAGTTTGCTACAACAACAATTGCACGCAGTTTGCCAAACAAAATTTCTGCATAACACCAACCTTATGTTAGACTAGCGTAAAAAACTTTTATAACTAAGAGAAAGAAACGTGATATATTTAAGAGTACACTCGAAGAGAACACATTTCTTCTACACGAAATGCCTGTCCCCAACCAGCGCTAATGCTCGTAAATATGCCTGGATTTGTGTACATGTGTACGTAAATATTATGCAGCTTATCTTCAATCACCTTCCAAACAGAAGACGCAAACGCTGAGCGAGAAAAATAAAATAAAATCAAAATAACAGCAAGAGCGTGATCAACAAAAATTTCAGTCTAGCATTTGAAGACGATGCCTGTCCCCAACCAGCGCTAATGCTCGTAAATATGCCTGGATTTGTGTACATGTGTACGTAAATATTATGCAGCTTATCTTCAATCACCTTCCAAACAGAAGACGCAAACGCTGAGCGAGAAAAATAAAATAAAATCAAAATAACAGCAAGAGCGTGATCAACAAAAATTTCAGTCTAGCATTTGAAGACGATGCCTGTCCCCAACCAGCGCTAATGCTCGTAAATATGCCTGGATTTGTGTACATGTGTACGTAAATATTATGCAGCTTATCTTCAATCACCTTCCAAACAGAAGACGCAAACGCTGAGCGAGAAAAATAAAATAAAATCAAAATAACAGCAAGAGCGTGATCAACAAAAATTTCAGTCTAGCATTTGAAGACGATGCCCACTGCACCCATGTATCCCGATACCGACGGTCTGGATAAGTATAGAGGTGAACGCCTACACAGTCATCTATATCGAAGCCCCGAAGTTTTAAAAGGTAACCTCAGACTTAATTCTTTTCCAGCAACATAACGTGTATATGCCTGCTCTTATCCACCCAAGGTCACACCGTTCTGGTAGTTGGTGGAGGGCCAAGTGGTGTTGATATCGCCCACCATATCTACAAACACGTTGAGCACATATTTCTCAGTCATCACCTGGAGGCCGCACCACACACCGATTTTATGTTGAACGTCACGCAGAAGCAGATATTCAGCGTTTCACCGAAAATGGCGCTATTTTCAAAGACGGCAGCGCAGCTTCTTTCTCTTATGTGATTTTTTGCACAGGATATAAATACACCTTCCCCTTCTTGAGTGTGGACTGTGGCCTAAACGTTGATGTCAATTGGGTGCATCCGCTCTACAAACACTGTCTAAACATTAATAAGCCAACGATGGCCGTCATTGGTCTACCACATCAAATCTGTCCAGCTCAACTTTTCGATTTACAAGTGCGTTTTGCGCTTGCTTTCTTTACGGGGCGCAAGCAATTGCCTAGTCGCGCTGAGATGCTGGCTGAAACGGAGGCGGATATGGAGGAGCGTTGGACGAGTGGAGTATCGAAACGGGTAGCACACAAAATGGGACCGAAACAGGTTAGTAAAACAAATGTATGTATGCATTAATATCGGAGGGGGATATTACTTCAAACTACCCAACGACCAAGAAAACATATCAAAAAATACATATGGGCAAATCTAAAAAACAGGTAACTACACTTTCAAAACAAAAAGTTTTAATTATTTTGTTTCTGTGCACACCTATGTTTAATATATGATTCTACTCGTAATCTCATAATAAATTAATAAATATAAGTGTAATTCATTTTTGTGCAATTGTAAATTTTGAGCAAAGATTTTGAAAGTTGAACTCGATTAATTGGGACGTTCGACATTCAATGCCATCCCCCGTTTTAACAGATTGACTCCGGTTTTCGAGATAATGGTACTTGAAAATTTGATTCAATTTTAACCCAATTTCGATGATTTTAAGAGATAGTGAAGGTAATATTAAAATACAATCGTGTGCAAAATTGTATTAAAATGTCTTTAAAACTGAGGGAGTTTTTTTTTTATAATAGTTAAAATTTCAAGTCCAGCTATCTCGAAAAGTGGCGCCAATCGGGTAAAACTGGGGAAGCCATTGAATTTAGAAGGCTCCAATTAAGTAAGAGCAACTATCAGAACCTTTGTCGAAAAAAGTTGATTTGATACCACGCTTGTAATATTCTGACTACAAGAAAGATCATCATTAAAAGTAGTAAATCAGGGTTTTTACACTCTTCTAGAAAAAAAAATGTTTGAAGTTACAAAAAGATTTAGATAGTTTCGACGTATTTTCCAAATGTGCCTTCAATTAAGCTATTTTTGGAATAAAAATTACGGCCAAGATCGCAGAATATTTTATCTTTAAAAGTTGGTTTATTCTGAAAGCACACCTCTTGCTAAGTTATCAAATTATTCGTAATACTTAAAAAGCTTTTAAAATGAAATGCTTCAAAAACTATAAGCGATAAACCGAAAATTTTGAAAATTGTGAAAAGTAGAGTTAAACACTTTTCGTTACTTGCCATTTAATTATTTTTTAAAGCACACATTAGTTACCAACTACATATGAAGTATACACATAAGTACTAATTGCAAAAAAAAAAAATCAAACCTGTATATGGTGCGTTTCAAAGTTTCATGCGTCCCTGCAAAAATCGCGACTACTCCATGCATGCGTGTAAAGAGTACTCCCTAAGGACCAAGGAGTACTCCAAAATTAACCACAATTCATATAAAAAATATGGTCCAATTAACATTGCGATGTCCTAGGGCAGGACCATATACTCCATCCCTGCATTACATCAGAGTAGCACAAAACTACTCCAACATATTAACAATGGCATTGTTGTTATATTTTTTCGTTTGTACACGCTTTTGTTCTTCACTTCTCAAATGCTTTTTCGAAATTAATAAAAACCAAGACAAAAATTAAAAATTACATGTTGCCTCTGACGGCATTCGAACCCGAAAATGCTGGGAGCCTAGAACTAACAGCGAGCATCTCTACACGTTCAGCTACAGCCAGACATGCAAATGTGCTTTCAAATGCTCAACTTCAATCACATTTCGTTAAAACACGAGCAGTGATCGGATAACAAACAATAAGCTGGCACAGAGACACGAGTTGGTCCGCTACAGCATGACAGAGGAACACTTTTGTAAGTACTCCAATATACCACAAATAGACTACATGGTCCAACGATTTTTGCAGGGGTTATATGGAAGAAAATGCGCAACACCCTCCACAAAAAAAAATTTAAAAAATCAACGGTAATTTGTAGTGACTTGAAACTTACACTTTATCACAGTAAAGGGCCATTCATATACAACTTTCCTCGCTTTGCTTGTCAGTTCAAACTTTGACGACAAATCGTGAAACGCTGAAGGTATGCTACAATAAACGCTTTGACTGCTTTTGCGTTCTCCTTTTCCTCCATATTTTTTATCTGTAAAATAGATAGCAATATAATAATATGCATTAATAAAAGCAATAAAAATTCCTATTTGCCCTATTTTTGTCATTAAATGCAAATGCAAGCGCACGAGAAAAGATACATGTAGACAGCTGATTGTCAAAGCGGGCAAAAGTTGAGAGTTGCCCAAGATTTTGCTTCGTTTTGCTTTGCTTTGCTTCAAACGTTTTTTTATGTGAGCATACTCATGCATATGCCTACATCGATCTTATATGTCAAAGCAAAGAACTATCAAGCAAAGCGAAGAAAGGTGTATGTGAATCAGCCTTACACGGAGCCGGATATGGAAATATATATTATGAATAGCAAATATACATAGTGTAGTCATAAAAAGTTGAAGATAATAGAATTTTGAAATAACAGCAACTAATTTCTCTTTGATATATTTTTTGCCTTAATAAAGCATACTTACTATCTTTCAGTTTGATTACTATGAAGACTTAGCTGTCACAGCGGGTATTACCAAAGTGAAGCCGGTGGTATGTAAAATGATGAAAGCCTGCTCTAGAAGGTACATTTTCGGACTGGATACATATCGGCAAAGTCGCTTCAAAGTGGTTGATGATGAGAATTTCGTACGAATTGCATAGACCATGCTGGCAGTTGGGAAATTGTACAGAGCAGCAGCAAAAATGTATTTTATAGAATGTTACAACGTAAACCTGACGGCCAAATCGCCACACAGGTACCAGTTTTGTCCAAACTGCCGTACTTGCTGGAATCGAGACGTCAATGCGGGGAAAAACATTCTCTACCTGGGAGAATGTATCATCGATCAACACGAAAAACACAACAATTTTAGCAAATAAGATGTCATTATTTCTTATATGGCGAAAAATATGTACATCTGACTGGCAACAGTTTAACTTATGTTATAGCAAAAGTATTATAAAACATATTTATGTACGTGATTAAAGGCGTGCTTATTTTGAAAAGAGATCATGCTATTTTATTTATCAACAACAAGGTGGTGTTACTAGAACAGCTGGTTTGATGTTTTTGTCTCTACACTAGTACAGCAGAATGTCATCCAAGACGAAATGGCGCAACTTTATGCTGTCAACATAACGAAATGGCGAAAATTATCCCCTATTCTTTCGTTTTGACATCCTGATGTAGCAAAAAGCAATAATAGAATACACGGGATTTTTACTTATATGCAATTGCTACCTACCACCTTTTATGGATGCGCCCGGCCCTAACCGCAACAAAACGTAAGCGACATTTTTTTTTTAATTTTCTATGAGCATTTCTGTTTCAAAAAAATATTTCAAAAAATGTCGCTTACTTTTTTCGCGTTTGGTTCTCGAAATTCCAGGTACAAATATCGTTAGACTTAGTATGCCAATGATAAAAGTCTTCGCATAACAATTGCATTAACTAAAACTTTGAGTCCGAAAATAAGCTTTACTTCGTTGTGGTAACGTACTACAAATTTTTATTCCTATAATCCCTTCGAAATGAAGAAGTATGGAATACGTGTTAAAATCTGTCGTTAATGTTTTTATTTACGACATAATTCAGCGAACGACTGTCGATGCGAACGACTTACGACAACCAGAATAGGGGTGATTATAGAAGATTTTAAAATTTTTTAGAAATTTACATGATTTTTTTTAATTCTGCCATAAATTTGAAACTTTGATATACATACCCTTGTGATCAGCTGATTAAGTCAAGTGAAATTTTGACTAGTTTCGGCTATTTTTCTTTTATTTAATGCTTATATTTCATTATAAAAGTCTAGCACTTTACATAACCAGCACCATGCACATAAATCAACATTTCAAACGTCGTAGAAAAATTATGAAAATTCAACAAACTTTAACATATGCAACCGAAAATTTTAAACTTTTTATTCAGAATTTTTAGAAAAATGTTGGGTATGCAGTTTTGTAGCTCATTAAGTTTTAGTAGGTTAAATTGCAAATTTCAAGACGCTAAAAAATCGCGTTGATATTTAATATTTTTTTTTTTGTTTAGGCTGACGGTGTTGTGCATTTTCTTCCATATAAAATATGGTCAACAATTTCGTTTGTTGTAAAAAAAAAATTCTAAATAAAAGGTTTAAAAGTTTTGGGCGCAAATGTTAGTTTGTTGAATTTTCATAATTTTTTACGAAGTTTGAAATGTGGATTTATGTAGCGCTGGTTGGGTAAAGTGCTAAACTTTTATAAAAAAATATAAATATTAAATAAACAAAAGAAAAATAGTCAAAACTAGTTAAAATGTCACTTGACTTAATCAGATGACCGCAAGTGATATGGTTTGTTGTGGTAAGAACTATATTTGTATAAAAAATTAACGAAAAAAACAAAAACATTTTAAATATTGTAAAAAAATAACTGTACTTACTTTTGTGCGTTACTGGCGCGCGCGAGTAAATCTGGGCTCGAATCGTCACATACGATATCGTATTACTTGTCACGTAATAATACATTTTATATATAACGTATAACGTAATCTTCCTTCTTATGGTTTTCGATCTGTGAACAGATGTTACGATTCGAGCCCAGGACTATCGTTTTTTAATTAGGATGTGCTCGAGCTACGTAATAATTACCAAAATATTGATTTTTTGATGCTCTTGGAAAAACGCCAACAATGAAACCCAAAAGCTAGCTACACTGCAGGGAAAAAGTATTGGCGCCGCTGCTTTTTTACAATATATGCAACAATTTTTATTGTAATATTTTTCCGACAATTTTTTTAAATGATATGGTTCATTCCACAACAAAAAAACATTTAAATATAGTTTTACCTCCCTATGAACGTCGTTGATGGCTCGTCAGCACGTTGTTGTTGTTGTAGCGGCTACAACAACCCCGCCCAGGACGGTTGGTATCTCAGTCGTTGTCGTCAAGTTCCACTAACGGCAACCCTAGGAAGCGTGCAGCTTCTGTGGGGTTTGTCCACAGGGACGAGGCCGTTAGGGTTGTCGGATTTTCCGGGCATGCGAAGAGATGTTTCGAGTCATGTGGGGTCTCTCCGCATGCCGGACACTCATTCGGCACATCCTCATTCAACCT